GCCCACGGCCACGGCCACCTGCCTGACCACGGCCCCCCTGCGGAGAGGGGCCGGAGGAGCTCTCCTGTGGGTGAGAAACCAAAAACTACAGGGGGTGAGGGCGACCAGGGCCATTTCTTTTCTGGCTTTGACATCGGATGGCTTTGACATCAGGCGAGCGGAGGTGCCGGCCTGTGTCGCCGGGAAATCACGCGCACTAGCCACCTCCTCCGCGTGCGAGTATGGGGACAAGGGACGCATCTGTCCCGGGAAGAGCTGCTCTGTAGCTCGGCACTTGGAGCGATTTCAGCACAACGGGCCTTCTCTGCAAGCAACTGGTATCACTTAAATCATTTGAGTGTGCGAAACGCACACTCAGCCAGTGCTCTGGCAACGCGGAGGACGGATTTCCTTGTATTATTCTTTAGAACCGTTTGCGTGTTTACTTTGGCATATTTTTTTCTGCGCAGCAGCTTGATGCTGGGGAAAAGCACTGAATAAATGTTTTTGTAAATTAAAACCATGACAGCCTTATCTATTGATTCACATACTACTGGCCATCGGTTACTACTGAAACATAAAAATGTCAGAGGCAGTTAAATATATGCCAAATGATTCTAGCAACAAAGCAATTTTTTATTTGCAATATTGAGCTTAAGAATTATAATTAGCACAACTAGCGCTTCTGTAGCTTTTGGTATTATTTCCAAAGTGATGTGCAAACAATCACTCCAACAACCTCAAACCATAAATACCTTGACAAAATGAATATTTATAAGTTAACCTTAGAAACAAATTCCTATGCATTGCTAAAATTATATTATAAAGCACTTTTTATCTCAGAGACTGGCACTGAGAATTATTTTCCATATGCCAGTATCCTCTGTCTAGTCCTGTTTTTCAGTCCCATTCCCTGAAGCAGGAATTTAAATCAACCACACAAACAAGAAGATTTTTATGAGAAAGGTTTTAAGAGTCACAGTGTGGACTAAGAGGGCTGAACATCCAGGTGTTTGCTGCAACTGCTCTGCATATTTCACAAAATGTATTCAACTAAACGCTGCAGGTGTGTGACTGCTTTCCTACCCCTGCCCTGGTGGGGTTTTCTCCAAAACTCACATCAGCAGCAGGGGTTATGTTGTTCCAGGATGGAGATGAGGGACCCCTAGAGAAAAATATCCCATCGAGTTATGCGAAGTTGAGAGAGACATGAAATCTAAGCAACCAGTCAAGGAGGCTTTTGGAAAAGGTAGTTCAGGAACTGAAAATCAGAGAGAAAACATCTGGGGCATATTCAAACAGCCTAAATTTTACCTCAGTCTCTGTCTCTCATCAACAGTGAAAGTTTGACACCTCCAAAGAATAAGACACTAATTGGGCAGCTGCAGAAACACAGCCAATAGGAAACATAAAGCACTGAGCACACACATCGAAATTAGGCCAGATGAGTTTAGCTCAAAATACATAAAAACTGGAGGCTGTTCAGAGCGAAAAACGATGCTCTAAAATAGCCTTAAAACTAGTGCAAGCGGAAGAGGATATTTTCTGCTGTGTTTTATACAAATGCAGATCAGGAATGGTCCCAGCAGCAGAATTGCATCAATTGAACTAATACCTCAGTGGGACCCAGCTTGCAGCCTTTGTTGATTAAAGGATAACTTTAACAATGGTCTATCTGTTCTTTGTAAGTGAGATCATTACAATTATGACTTTTCCCTTAGGATCTATAGCAAAGACTACAAAAAGACACTGGATTCAGAGAAACAAAAACCTAACGTTCAACAGTTCGTCAACCCAAAATGAAACACGACAGAGTTCCCTACAGCATGTCTGTGCTGTCCGACAATCATTCAGCCTTATCGCAAGAAACCCACAATGCTGAAGCAATTACTGGTAATAGCTTTAGGGAGTAAAAATGTTGCTTGTGAACGAGCGATGGGAGGATGAAAAAGTATGAGTGTGGATCAGAACTGGAGATGTGGGTGGAACAAGAGGCAAGGGACTTGAGTTGCTTATTATCTCCAAATTGTTTTGTCTTTGTTCTCCCTTCAGTGTGTGTGTAAGGAGGACTGTGTTTTACACAGCTTTTATATAAGCCAGGCATGAACCTCCTTTTCTTGGGGTCAGAACACAAATATTTTCCAGTTTACTGAAGCTTTTTGTTAATTCCTAAAGACAAAAAAGGCTCAGTGGTTAAGATCCAGAAAGCCCCTAGGTCCATCACTGCTGTAAAACCTACTGCATCAGTTACTGGCAGGTCGCAGTTGATTAACTTGTTTATGGTTTTCCTTGGGCCAGGGTCAAAGATGCCATCTCCACATACAGAGTCAACATCTAAAAGTCTCTCTTCCAAACCTGGAGTGGAAAGCCAGCTTGTACTGTCAGGTAAGGTCATATGCTCCGGCATTTTCATTGTTAGGTCAGAGGAGAGACCCATATTGAGACTTTTCTACCTGCAATAAGATGAGACAGGTAAAATAGCTCCAGACTTACAAAAATCCCTGAAATCCTGAGTTGATCAGCAGATATGGTGAAGTGACATAAAAAATACAGTGGTCTCAGTTATATCACTGGTTTCTTATAAACCCTGCCCAGCTTCCCGCTCTCAATCCAGCGCCGTTAGCCATCTGCAGCTCTGAGTACAGCTGCCCACCCTTCAGGCGTGATGCAGCAGATCAGAGTCCCTTTGCATTGAGTCCTGATATTCTGCTTCCCATCTTCTACTCCCTTATCCACTTTTTGCAGAAAGCCCAGACGAGGATGAAGAAAACCCAATGAAAAATCCATTTACAATTGCTCCAGATATCGATATTTTCTCAATAAGGGACAAGGAAAGAAAAAAGGCTAAGGCGGTATGTATAGATGCTTTAGGCCAATGTATATACATACAAGCAGTTCTCTAGTGCAGGCAATGAACCAATATAACATCAAAATTTAGTGCATGGGAGAAACAACAGCTGCCAAATTCAGCTGAGATTCCCCCAGATCCATTTCGAGTCCACTGAAGTCCATGATGAGAAATTAACTTCACCAAGAGCAGATCTGAGCACAGGCTTGCTGGCTGCTAGTGCAAAATCGGGATATTGTCACTGCCAATGAAATGAATGCCTAGGAAAAAAGATGACATGGGTTTCATGCCTTAGGTTTCTTTCCGTAAGATAGGGAATTGCAACAAACCAGACCAGAGCGTTGCATCTCAGGAATGTCTCTTTCTTCCTTATTTCTGCAGTGGACTTTCCTTAGGACATGCCATCCAAAGGGGGTGGGAAGTCACGGAGAGGTTGTCGCATCTCTGCGAGGTCTGATTGTTGCCCGTGGTTAGAGAAGACAGGCAGTAGTGTGGAAGCAAGGGGTCTGTGTTTATAAATCACAACGGGAGGGCTCCAAACAGGCTTAGGCAATAACCTCACATATTGATTGCTGATAGTCTGATTTTAGCTTGAGTTGAAGGTCACTATGTAAGTGTGGGGAAGGGTTTAGGAAAAAGTGCACTATGGACGTCTGCTGAAGTGGTGTCCTCAGCCTAACCCATGCCCAAACTGTGCAGAGAGCAATGAATTACACCTCAGCCCATGTGAAAGCACTGAGCATGAGCAACCTTTTACCCTCCAGGAAGCTCTGGAGTGGGTTTGAATTGATCCTCTCGAACCGAACTTGAGGTTTTACATGCCTTTGTGGAAGTTGAACTGAGTCGTTATTGAGCATGGGCTGTCCTGTTTCCTTTTACTAGGGGACCTGAAGACGAATCTCTGAAAGTTTACGTTCTCTCCCAGGAATAATCCAGGAAGGAAAAATGGGGACACTGAGTAGCTACAAACTGGCACAGCTGATGGCTGGATGCAGAATACAAATCAACAAACTAATGAGAACAAATGCTAAGAAATGAAGTGTTTCGGTTGCCTCAGGAGAGAGTATCATTGGGATTAGTCAGATAAACCAGACAAACATGCATCAGCATATCAATAGCCTGCAAATTTCTAGACTGTGAATAATCACTCGTATCTTTAAAAAACACAGCAAACAAAGCACATAATCAAACTGCCCACATAACTGACTTCTCCTTATAGGAACGTGAACGGATGAAGACCATGAAAATCCATGAGAAAACTACTTACTCTACTAAAATAAAAGCAAAGCAAAAAGGGTTCAGGAAAGCTCTGCAAAAGGAGGAAGAAGAAGAGGGCAGAAAACAGGCAACAAATGAAGAGAGACTGAAAACTCTTCAAGAAAGTCTTTCATGGAAGATAGCCATTAAAAAAGGTAGGAGACAATTACTATCTTTGTAGTGGTGCTGCTCAGCTGGCTAACAGCCCAAAGTAAAAATCAAAGAAGGGATGGGAGAAGCAGTTAGCTCTAGCTGACTTTGGTGAGCTCTTGCAGACACAATATGCTGCATCTTGCCAACTTTTGTGTGGCTGGGCCATCTCCATCTCATGCATTTACACACGGAGCATGTATCACCCCTACCGCAGTAGCCTGCATTCCACCATCCCCTGTGGCCTCAGCAGTAGCCGTGAGCTCTGGGAATGAGCTGTGAGTCAGTTGAGAGTTTGCAGGACCTTGTGTCATGCAGACATTTCTATTAAGCTGACGTAAAGTTGGATTTTAGTGGATGTGGGACTAAATTTTCTGCCTCTGACATGAGGGAGTAGCTTTGCCATTAATGTCTGAAGAAAGTTGACCTTTGTAAGAACCAGATTCTCCACTCCATTCTACCTGGTTTTACTCCATGAAAGCCCATATGAAACTGATCCTAAACAAGGTCAAAACTATAATAAAATAATCTGTATTGCCGGCTCCAATGCCAACCACATCCATGCTCATGTTAGCCTCCATATTCACTGTGTTTTGCCTTGGCCATATTTCCCCTTCTGGTCTGATCAACTTTATATCCTCATTTCAGATTACCCATTAGAAAAGGAGACCTTCCGTGACTACATAAATGACAGAAGAGAGGTATTTTTACTTGAGGTACCTGGCTTTAAAAATGTTACTTTCTGTTTGTTTAATTATTCTTCCCTGTGTTCCTTTGAGGTTTTTTTCCCCTGAGATCCATTGCCTAGAGATCACACCAAGGACGCACACATCATGAACCAATTGTTCAAGTCCTGTGTCAAAGACACTCATAGTCTATAGCCCAGCAATCCCCAGCCAAGAAAGAAAAGAAAATAGATCATTCACACCATGCAGTAGCAGCTATGCAACTATTTCATTTGTGAGATGCACAGATACACTGACCTTTTGGCTCTTGTTGTCCTGTACATAGATTATATCTGGGAGCCATTCTGAACTCAAAATAAGGGAGCCATGTTGGAATATTCCCATTATTATTGTGCTGTAGTACAACTGCATCAGTCTTTGTCAGCCAGAAGTTAACACAGTTGTGGAACTTCTGGATTCTGTTTTTAGTTTTACTTCTTACTTGCTATGTTACTTCTGAAACATCTCCTGGCCTCTATCGTACCTAGTTTGCACTAAGACACGTACCTTGGTTTGCAATCTTTACCCTCTCCACCAACAACTATAAGGTAATAAGGTAACCAAGAACAAAGCTAAACTAACAGCCCTTTAAAACCAACCGATGTGACTGTGTTGCCTTTTGGGTTCATTTCAGTATGCCATGGCAGTAAAGAGAGATGAGATTCAAAGGATGGAGAACGTAATAAAGAACGAGGAAAGAAAACTGGAAAAGGCTGAATACTACCTGGAGAAGGATGCTACCACGTTTGATGAGTTCCTGAAGGAGAACCAGAAAAACTCTGTTCAAGCCCTGAAAATGTAATGGAAGTTGAGGGAACCACCTGTGTGCTCTTTTGTGCTGGACACAGGAGGTCTTTTGCTTGACCTTCCTGCAAGGTTTTGGCTAGCATCCATCCTCAGATGCTCTATGTCTGAGCTTTCCCAGAGTTACAGTCCTGGTGGCACTTTCTCCCCACACATTCAATGAAAGACAGGAGGAGACCAGTAGCTGGGAAATCCTCTTATTGCAAAAACCCTTGATTTGGCTGCAGCAAGGAACCTGCTGTTGACCCCACCACTGCCATTCTTCTCACAACACCCTTATGAGAGGGAGATGCTTCTGCCCAACCCCTCACAGCGGGAATGGTCCCTAAGTGAAGCAAGTTGAGCACTTCAGCCCATTACAGGTTATTATGAGGGCAGAGCAGCAATTGATGCTCAGCAGCAGCCAAATTAGGGAGGCCCTAACCTGGAAGTGTCGCTGGGACCTCATACTCTCTTTGCCAGGACAAGCAGGGCCTTTAGGCTGGAGCCAAGCACCACCTGGGGTACATTTATGAGAGATTTCTAGCGCTCCACCCACATCTTTTTCTCTGTTTTAAATGTGCCTCAATTTACCACCCACTTACTGCTAAATTGTTTTATGGCTTAAGTTTATGCATTCTTCCCTAGTGCCGAAAAAGAAACTGCAGCAAAGACAAAGAAAATAACGGAGATCCAGGCAATCACTTCCCAAATAGAGAACCTCCAAAGGTAAGGGTCGCACGCTATTCCTGCCTAGCCTTCCTGCCTCGCAGCCCTCGGGGAAAAATGAAAGAGATTTCTAAAAATGTTCAACTTTAAGAGTTAAAATGTTCCAGCTTTTGTTTTCCAGATGCTGGTTTTGTTTCTGAAACAAGTCAACTATTTTTTAATGATTTTTTTTTTAAAGTATAAATATTCCAAAACCAAAATTAAATGCCTAGTCTCAGATTAAAAACAAACAAAACTAAGTAACGCATTTTAACGGTGACCGGGAGAAAGAAGAAGAAAAAAATTATAATTCCCGTTACGACTTGAGCTGGCAAGATTTCTCCTTCATTTTCAAGTGAAAACTCCTAAATTAGCAAGCCCAATAGCATAGCAAGGGTCTGGCCACAGAAATGTGACCAGACAGCTTCCACATGAGGGACCACAGAGAGCACGCAGGGCAGGTTCCCGTTTGTCTTCGCATGTCCATGAAGATGTGCACCCTCTTGTCCCTTCTCTGGGCGACGCTGAGTATCAAGAGTTAGAAAGAACATGTTCAAACTGGGGCTTTCCTCCCTGCTAACAAACTTTGTCCACTTCTCTCACCCCAGTGATATATCCAGATGCAGGAATACTCTGCAGGAGTACAAGATGTACAGGGACTTCCTCTATCAACTATCTCCGAAAGAGTGGCAGGAGGAACATGGGAAAAAGCACAAGAAGAAAAAGGAGTTGAAAACAGCATCCAAAGCTAATGAAGGAAGCGCCTCACCTCCCACCACCGCAGAGCAGGGTGAGTGCCAGGGAAGAGCCGCCCACTCCTCACTGGCACGGCCCCATGCTCTATGACATCTCTTCCTTTCTCCAGGCCAGGGTTTGACAGCCAAGGCAAACGCTGCCAGTCCCTACAGTACCAGTTATATAGATGTGCCAAGTTCCCTGCTGTCTACAAAAAGTTTGGAGTTCAGGTCATTACATGAGATCAGGCCACAGCTCAAAAACTTCCTGAAGCCTCTATCAACAAGAAAACTGTAAGTACAAGACAATGCAAACACCAGACTTTACTGTAGAGGGCACGCAAGTGACTGGGAGTCAGTATAGAGGAAACCTACTCCTCACCTTCGCTGTGAGCATACGGAGATCTGGGTCTTATAGGAACAAATTAAAATACCAGCAGAAAAATATCAGGTGTGCAAGTCATTAGCTATGTACTTACTCCATCTGATCTCCATCCTCAAATCCTCTGCTGAGATCCCTTCCCCATGGATCTGGCCCTTGAGGAAACCCCAGGAGAAATTATAGACCTTGGCCATTTGTCCTGGAGCAAAGCTTCTCTGTGGCCTATTTGTGGCTGAGATGCTGGTTCCCACTGTTGGTCACAGCTGCCATACAAAAGCTGCCTGTTGTTTTGCCTTTAACGAAGATCCAAAGTCATTGTAGACCACATTACATTGGCCGTCTGCTTTCAGTAAGAGGCTTTAGGCAGCACGTGCTGGGATGCAGGCAGTGCCAGCCTGAGAAGCGAAGGGTCAGGTGGGAATGTGAGACAAGCATAGCCAGCTCCATCTTCTTGAGGCAAAGAAAACAATTGCCTGGAAAAGCGAAGTGTGAGTGGCTGGCGAGCCTCCTAAGGCCAAAAAAAACTGGCTATCAATAGAGTTTCAACTAAGTCATTGCTTGCAGGGCCATTTCCTCTGCCTCCACTCAGAGCACTGCAGGTGCCAGGTCCTCCCAGGCAGGGCTGCCACGTGCCACCCCTCGTGAAGCCACTGCAATTACTGGGCTGCTGCCACATGGCAGGAACGATGCAGACACAAGTGGGGCTGGCACTAAGGGGATGCAAATGGAGATTTTTCAACCCTCCATGGCCCAGGGTGGCAGGTGCAAGTGAAGGTGATGAGCAGACTCTGCTGCCAACAGCAGTCAGGCACCTCTTGCCTTGCTCTTCCAGCTCTTGTGCTGCTTGTCCCTGGGGCTGAGCGGGGCAGAAAGAGGCCACATTGCTGGTTAATGGCAGTAGGGCACAGAGGAAGAAGCACTCACCAGCCTTCTTCCACAGCAGGTAAAAACTGCAGACTTCCATGGTGGCTACACCATGCTGTTAGGAGCAGTACCACATCCCACACTGCGAGCAAGGCTTTCTCTGCACTTGCTGTGCTGCTGCCTGAGCCTTTTTAATAAGGCTCTTGCCTCCGCCTTCTCATTGCCCAAGAGCCAAAGCCTCCCAACAAGTTTAAAGGCGTTTGGATCAACACCCTCAGTTCAGGCTCACGCGTCATGCCCCGAGCCTGCTGGCCAGCAGAGCCCAGAGCAGCTCAAAAGGCAGCTGGCTTGGGGACAGACGTAGCCCAAATGCGGCACGCCTGTGTGACCCCTCGCTCCTACCGATCCCCAACCAGCCAAAGCCGCGGGGGGCCGAACGTCTGAATGTGCAAATTCAGGAGCGAACAGCACCGCAAGCAGCAGTGTTCACAATTCACTAGCAAGGTCTCCCGTGAGCCATCATTTCTCTAAGGGCCTGATACACAAAATGCTTTTTCAGAAATTCACTGGAGGATTCAGAAAGCGAAACCTGCTCGGATGAAGATGAGGTCAGAAGTCTTGTGTTGAAATATTTACACTTTCTGTTTGTCCTGTGTCATTTATTGATGTTACTAATTTCTCTCACCTTCCAACCATTCATTATGGTATTGAGGAGTTACTATAGCTTCTAATTATAAATGTATGTTTATACATTCATAAATGTTCATGTTTTAGCAACACATATTATAAATACCTTAGTTTAACTTTCCTCCTCCACTTTCCAAAAACCTACCATCATCTCAAAGCTTGCCATCCCCCAACAAGATATGACATCATATAATGGGATATTTTGAAATCAGTTATTGGTTTATGTCTGAAATTGAAGTTTCCCAACTCACAGATGTTTGTGCCACTTTTTACTCCCCAAAATGCAACTTGTGAGTGAGCTGCTGAGGCAGCGTCAAGCTACGCACACAGCAGGAAGGGGGGAGACGCTTGTTCATGGACAGTCATGGACCTCTCTAAATGGGAGAGCATTTGAACAACCAGGGCTGGTGCAGCCCAACCTCCATATAGTTCAATGGAAAAGAGGCTAGAGGAGGACAAAAACTCATCACATGTTTTCCACTCCAGGAGCCTGAGTTGTATTTTACTGATCCCCAACAACTGCTGTCTATTTTCACGGAGATGGAGGAAGAGAACTTGTCCTTCATCCAGAATTCCCAGGAGATTGAGGAAAGTTTGGACAAGGTCCAACACACTTTCATCACCGCACAGGAAAGCATGTAAGTGTGATCTTGCGAGCGGTGGGAAGGGGTCCCTTGTGCCCCAGCTTTCAAACATAAGTGACCCCCTCTTCCCTCAGTAGCACCTCGCCATCAGGCTGCATGCTGCAGACCACACGTAACGCTGTTCACACAGCACACAACAGTCTCTTTCTCATGCCTTAGAGCCCAGCTGCAGCCCATCCAACTCACCATCTTGGGACACTCTGCCACGAGCTCACATCTACATAATTTAGGAGATAGAACTTGAGCTTGGGACTAGTTCCTTAGTCCTCAAGGCACAGGCTGGGGAACTGATGCATTCAGCATCCTCGAGTGGACATAAGCCAGAAGTACCCTGTAATTCTCATAAAGAAAGATCAAAGGAAGAAGCAAGGCATGTCCTGGAGGCATCCCGAACAGCACCTACTCCGACTCAGTGCAAACCCTTCCTAGAGGAAGCCAGCAGAGAACCCAAGTGTAATTGCAGTATAGTATTTCTGTGGCAGGTACACACACATATTCCCACTTAAAGTGCAGCTTATCCTCTTGTGAAAGTTTTTAAATGGAATCTACTTCCCCCATTGACTTATTTTAAAAACCTTGAGTGTTTAGCTATGCTACTTCTCCCTCCCCCGCAGCAGCACTGTAACAGCTCTCAGAGCTGGGGGGCAAGTTCCCCAGAAATGGCGAAGTGTTACCCCCATCTGCCGGCAGCGGGAGGGACGGTCCCAGGCTGGGAAGCAGCAGAAGAGCCATGGGTTTCAGGGATGCCCTTTCCAAAATAACCTCCTTTCTCTTCTGGCCTAGGGAGAAGAAGTTAGCGGAGCTGAAACAGCAGGTGGGCACCCTCAAATCCTCCATCGCCAAAGAAGAAGAGAGAGTAGCAGATCTGAAACTCAAAGTTCACGTCTTTTCCTCTGGGCAACACAAACCTGATGATCAGGTAGATCCTGAGATCAAGGCAAGGGGGGTTAGCATGCGCATAAACGGTTCCTCTCCACCAGCCATATCCATCCTGGGAACAAAGCAGGGGTTGCAGTGGGAAGGGATCAGCGCCGTTTCTCAGCAACGGAGCTATAGCAAGGGCAGGTTTGGGGCACTGCTGAGGCAGCAACTGGGGCAAACATGTCTATTCCATGCAGGTGGGAAGTAGGGCTTGCAGAGGCAGCCGGGCAGCTGCAACCTGGCCCAGGCCACAGCGAAGCTGGGGAGACCAACAGAGGAATGGCTCAATACAGCCGCCTGTCCCACACACTGGTGCTAAGCAAACCAAGAAACAAGCAATTGCGTCTTGATGGGAGAATTAGAGTGTACTGATTTCCTTTGCTTTTGGAGGGATGCTGTGGTTCTACAAGGCAGAAGCCAACCATGCCTCTCTCCGTATCTCCTCTCATCTCTAGGACAAAATGCTCACAAGCCTGAACAAGAAGGTGCTGGAAGTCTATTGCCAGTGCACTGGAGAAAATGGGGCAAACCTGCAGACAGTGCAGATGCTAATGGTGATAGAAAAACAGCTCAATGATTTACTGGACAACTTGGAGAGAATCCCACCAGCAAAGATAGAACAGGCTGAGAAGGCGAAAAAAAAGGAACGGCGGATAAGGTAAAACAAGGCCCTCTGCTGGAAATGGGACCTCTGTTTTTAAATGTGGACAGCCAAAAGCAAATCCACTGAAAGGGACAAATTCGTCAACCAACCCAGGAAACTAACAGCAGTCTGAAAGGCCAAGTGACCAATCCATCCCAATTTACTTCTGTAACGATTTCACATTCACAGTACTCACATCTCCCAGTGCTCAGCAAGCAGCAGCCCACAGGTACATTAGAAAAGACCTGGAAGGTGCCTGTGTCCTGAATTGAAGGGCAAAATGAAACAGGAAAAAGAAAAAAGGGGGAAAAAAAGGAAAAAAAAAAAAGAACAAATCTCCTGAGCAAATTAGATGATGAGAATCATCATTTTAAAAAGACAACTTGCATAGGCACATAAGGGCATTTGTTGTCAGCGCCAGCTTTCAAATGTTTCTTCTACAAGCCTCTTAAGTTCAACTTGTATTATTAAATTAAAATAGTATCCAATTAACACAATACATTTAGGTTCCAAGATGAGATGCATTCCTGTTGGCTCAATTATACACATGAAATTTCTCCTCACAAACAGCAAAGATGCAACTGGACAGCTGGATCATCCCCAGGTGAATCAGATCCAGAAAAAAAAAAAAAAATAGTGTGAGGATATAAAGCCAGAACAGGGACACTTCCCTCCCACCCACTTTCTTTCTCTGCATCTTTCTTCACCTTTGTAGTAGAAAGGGTGTGATGCTTCTTCCTAATGTTCTGTGAATGGTTTTGCACTCTTAACTTCCCAAAGAATTAAGACACACCATTTATTCTACTCCGGGGATGGAGGAGAAGTATTCAGGAAAGAATCTGACCACCCCACCCCAAATAAAAAAGCAATCAATCAAACAAACAACAAACCCTCCAAAGAGCATTTAAAAATTTTCCTGATCACAAGGTTAAGAATTCATTTCCTCTCCGCGCAGTGTTCAATAGCTTGAGCCCATTTCCATTCCAGTGCTGCATTTCCATAGGGAATCGGAGCCAGTTAACACTATCAGCCTCCACTGCGCCCATTTAGGCGAAGCGTAGCTCCATGGGTGTAAAACCCTCCTGCTCTCATCTGTATGTTACAGACTTGGTTGCACTGGTGAGAACTTAAGACACAATCAGCATTGTTCACACACAAAGCTGGTGACCATCCTGGTCAACAGTAGAGCACAAGTCACCTGCTGAAGGTGGTACAGAGCATGTCTGTAACTGAGAACAATCATCTGACAGCTCCATTTGCAAAGCTTGATGTGCTTTTTCCTCCCTTCACTCCAGAAAGAGTGGAATCAACAACACCCAGTGTTTCCCTGTTACCACCTTCACAGCAAGGAACTCCAGCATCAGCTATGCCCAAACCCCTGTGCTCCGGTGGTCTTACACCATCAGAGAAGCTGCGCATCAAGAGCATGTTCGGTGTAGCTGCATACCGCATCTAACCCATCCTTTATTTGCTCCCTTCAAAAGGCTCAGAGAGGAAAAACTGAGACAACAGAAGCAGCAGCAAGAGGAAAGACTGCAACGAGCCCTGGAAAGATCACAGGCAACTATAAAAAAAAGGGTAAGCACAGTAATCTATAGGAACACCTCACCTCAACAGCCTGCTTCAGAGGAGTGGTGTTTAAGGGAAGCATGTTTCTAGAGGCCTCCACAGCCGGGTGGGGACGGCACCCACACTCAGGTGTAGCCCAATTTACAGGACTGATGTTAACTTAAGCAACTGCTGGGAAGTCAGTTATGCTGCAAGTTATTCCAGCTCAACGTCCTTCAATCGTCCTTCTCCCATCCTTGTGTCTTAACCAGATGGTCCCCGCCCTTACTTGTCCATTTTCTCAGTAAGCTCATTTCAACTCATTAACCTGGCAATATTAGAAAGAGCGTGAAAAATCAGCAGAGGAGGAACCAGGCAGCAGCAGGATGCTCCTGACAACAGCAGCAAGGCCTTAGGTCAGCTCAGCCATACTGTCGAACTGTACCTTTCCTGGCATGTTCCGCATTACACCAAACCGAGTTTTGCCCCCTCAGGAGACACCGTGCGGAGCTTCAGGCCACAGCTCCTGCTGCACATTTCACAGGTCAACACGATGATGGAGGCAGCCCAGTTCTCAGTCACACACCAAGCCAGTGACAGCATGGCCGACTGAGAACAAGCGCCATGAGGCCCTGCCCCTTTACCCAAGATAAAATAAGTGGGTTCTGCAGGCTCCCACAGATATTTCTTCAAACTTCCAACTTCCCAAACTCTTGAGACCATACAAGTAAGGCTTTAGTCAGAAAACACTTGCAGGTGCAGTAGTACTTTGTAGATACTGAAGCACCAGCACATGCATGGCCTTCAAGTGCTTGACGCTCATTTTCTAATAGGAAAAACACACTCGGACACACTGAAACATGCCCAGAAAGCAGATGGCAAGGGGCCACGGCCCCTCGCAGCAGGAGAGTCTGGCAGCATGAAGCAGCTTTAGCTGCATGGTTCGGACATGCTACTCCAACACAGCACTGATGCGTGAGCCTCTTCTTCCTCTGCAGAGCGGCAGGAGGCTGGTGTTTCGTTCCAACCCACCTGTCAGGAAGGAGAAGAAAAAGCACAGCCAAGAACAAATGGATAAGGAGAAGGAAGAAGAACTCTATTATTTCACTTGACAGCACAGCCTTAACTGCAGCATGGAGGGCTGACACTGCTCTAGATAAGTTTTTCATAGCTTTACAGTCTGTTAAGAGTCTAAGCCATTTGCTCAGTTGATGAACCTCACAGTCCCCTGAAATTCCCTACCTTCTCCTACCCCAATATCCCAGGGAAAGTTGGGTCTGTCAGGCAGACATTTTTCTCCCCATATTGATATTCTGTCCAAGAAAATAAATTAAAATTTTCTCTCATTTTGCTTCTCAGGCCCCTGCTAGCAACAATGCACTTCTCATTCAGTTTTTGATGTGAATAGCACTATCCCTACAAACCTGACTAGTGAGATTTATTGCAATCCTGGGTAACAATCTTTGTTAAGGCACAACTAAGCCAGGCACCTGCCAGACGTATTATAATCACAAATCTGTTGAAGGACTATAAAAAACAAAGGCTATGGCTTAATCTAAATGACGGGTTTCTGTCTTATAGACTCAATCCCACTACTGTGGAGAAGACACAAGCAGAAGAAAAACACAAGCTCTGTAGAAAGCAAGCTGCTAACAATTAGCTTTATGTCAGCTGCATCCATACAAAGAACAATATCCAGTGACAAACTGACCATTTAAAAAAAAGCTTTATTAACCCTTTTGCACCAGCAGTTCTTCAGGTATCCATTGCCAGCAATGGAGTTCAAGCCAAGTGATCCAATTTTCGGCCGCAAGAGGTTAGCACTTTACATTCACTTACAAAGCTGAGTGAGGTACATTTTCAGAAGTAGAAAGATCTGTTGCAAGTCCCATAAAAAGATGGAGTGTTCCTTGGCCATTTTAATAGATTAAGAACTGGTATGGTCCTTGAAAACAGAATAATGCAGGCACTGGGAGCTCGAGGTGTCTCAGCTTCCAGGGAGAGCATGGTGACCACTAGAGCAAGACCCAGTAGTCCCTTCAGCATGATTCCTCCTCAACCTTTCTACCTCTCAGGAGTGGACTCCATACTGCAGTCACAGCCAGCAGGCAGAAGATCTCATCTACCAATTAGTTTGGTCTGGAAACCCAACCTGAGAGGGTTAAGAGATTCCCTGGACATAAGCTGTAAACTCAGGATGAGGAGCAGAGAAACCTCAATGCTCAGCTAAGCTAAAGATAGAAAAATAAAACTGGTTCAACCAGAGGATAAAATACTGCCTACAAATCAGGATTTGAAGTTTAATGTAACCTGTATACTTTTTTCCTCCCCAAGTCTTCAACCAAAAAAGCATTTATCTGGACACATACATAGTTCGAAAGGCACAGGAAGTAAAAGCATTTCTGAATGACCTCGTGTGAATTCAACATCAGTATAACTGTAAAATAAATAAATATGTGCAAGATTAGAAAGATCACAACGTTCTTCTGCACAACATATCTTATTTTGTAAAAAAAATACACATACGTGCATACACACACACCTCATTGAGAATAAAAAACAGTACATACATCCTTTTATCAAACTCCTATACATAATTTTATAGGCATTCAGTACATCACCATGAGAAACATTTAAATTACTACCTTAAAATGTAACCAAAAGGTGTTTTTTTTTCCTATACAACCCTATACTTATTTAGGTGTCTGCAATCCAGATAAGTACAGTACATACAACCTCTCCCTGCACCCTCAAGAGAAACTGCAGTTTTTCAGTGGGGCAAATTCTTTTCTAGGTAACAATTCTTTTTCCCTCAAAATACTCTGACAACTACATATTCTGTAAACCAGAAGCTCCACGTGCATGTGACACTCTGGGAGACCAATAAAGAACAAGTGTTAACAGTGTTCAATTCGGAAAAAAAAAAAGGTAGCAGCCAGTCTACAGGTAACTTGGCAGCAGTTTATAGATGAGACAAAATCAAGGTGCTTAAATTTACGTGACGGTCAACATTCATCCCAACAAAGGGAACACAAAGATAAAACTAACCTCTCTCAGATGCTGTTGGACTCTTAGCTAATCACTTACAGTGAGTACAGTTCTATTGCAGTTTTCTTTTTCAAGTTTTGCTGGAATAATTCAGCAAATTATTTGGGACGCAGGAGCAAGGAAAGGGCGAAACTCAACATGAGCTACAAACTGATTCACAGCTAAGTTAACATTTAGAATCTAGCTTTCTAAAACAAAGATTTTAGAGCATCATATTTTCATGGCATAGGACATCAATTTTGTTACATGTGACACTTTATTCCAGTTTTCTGCCAAAATGCATGGGCTGAAACAATTGTTTTTTGGGGTGTGGAAAACACTTGCAAATTTTAGCTCTTAATTCCTCAATGCCACTGGCTCCAGCAAGAGACCAATGGAAGGAAAGTTTTAACTGCTGTAGGCAGGATTATAAATTTGTACTTGTTAGCTGTAGAATACTTGCTTTTCTGTGAAAACAGTAAATATTACCTCAGTTTGAAGTTTAATACAGTACTTCTCCCTGAAACAACACTGTACAGCAGTCTGCCTCAGTCTCTCCAACCACCAGGCAGACAGGGTATCTTACACAGGCACATCAAGTGGGATTTACATTTTTGAAGAAAATCTTTCAGCTGCAACCATCCTTAGCAAATTGAAAGGAGTGCAACCATAATCCCATACTCCTAGATTTCATATTTTCCTTGGAAAAAGACCCACACAGTTATCTCACTCTGTCAAGACATGATTGCCCAATTTGTTTTCAAGCAGCTGTTCTTAATAATGGTCATTCCAGATCCTGTAAGTTTATTGTGCTTCCAGTGAACTGGGAGTTATCAGAACCTGCATCATCTTCAGTGGAATTGTGTGGTTCCTGTTAAAGCAAACAGACAGCATGAAGAGTTCAGTGCTTTCACCTCTAGATGCTTTTAATGCTTATCAGTAAGATTACCTTGACATTTATCCAACATCAGAGAAATGCTTTGAATGGTTTAGAGGAAACCCAAAGCTTTCCTGTTTTGGGGACCCACTCAAACTGTGCCGCTACAGTTCAAACGGTGCCTCTACAGTTTTTCTTTGGAACACTTCAGATGAGCATTACGAATGGAGATAAATTTAAAAACACTGACTATTTGCTTTTCCTCTATTAACTCTCTACCATGGCCAACAACCCTATTACTCTTCTTGTATTCCCTAGTTTTATCACAGTAAGGTGCTCCTCTCAAATAGAAAAGCTTTATTTTCTGTTCAGGAGAAGCACACTTGGTAAGATAACTGCATTGCACAGTTTATCCAAACCAAAGCCCCACATGGTCAAGTAGAAAATGTGGTTTATGTGCATGCTAATCATTCATTGCCACTCGGTTCTCAGCTGCTCCTGCTCACTAACATGCAGTTTACCAGAACAGCAGGTAATCCAACATTTATTCGAGAAGGCACATGAGGGTTTCTGCGTTCAAACAACACTGACGCTCAGTAGTTAACAAGGGCAAGTAGTGAAACCAAAGACTGCAGAAGCAAGCAGACTTTTTAATCTAACTGCCATCCCCATACAGACACCGCTCTGAAATCTAGGCTCAAGATTTTATTTCCCACTTCCCACTCTTCCTGTAGCCTGTTACATATCAGTTCTGATCCTCTTTCTTGACCCACTTAGTATCGGCAGGATGGGATCAGGAAAACGAGGATGGGGCACTTCAGTAATAAATAAGTAACATTTAGTTATTCATTACTCAGTAACAGAGAAAAACAACCACCTAGGACGTGTCAAAGGTTGGTAACATACACAAGATAAATCTTGCAGTGTAGAGTTATAAGTGAAATTAAACTCCCAATGGAAAACAAGGTATTTTCATTTGGCAGAACACCAGAGCGTTCATAGTAAACTCCTCCCTTTCCAGCTAGGCAATAAAACCCAACACCTCTGACATGCTGTACCTGAAGTATGTGAACAGGTAAATCCACTGTAAGCTGAGAATGTGATGAGGAGGACTGAGAGCTCAGCTGAAAGGGCAATTCTCCCTCTCCTGGGGAATCATCCTGCAAATGCAGAAACATGATGTGATTACAAGACCCCTAAGCATCTCAGCACAATATGGCAAATTTCACTCAGCCTCACAACCTTAAAATATCTGGTAAAGCTACTGCACTGTACTAGTAAGGCCTATATCCACAAAGACATGCGGAAAGCTAACTACCACTTAAATCTGAACCCAGCTCAGTGTACAACCTATTATCCTACCATAATCAACTTGGAAAATTGGCAAGATCTGAAAAAGGAGGGAACGGTTCATCTTCCAACAAACATTACATTCAGAAATATGCAACAAGTTTCATCATGTTGCTTGAAGCTGATACTTAACATGAAAGTTACAAACATTTACACACATCAGAAAAATAGACAGAGGAAGAACTCTGCCCATAGCTTTCTCCATACCTTATGTTGTTAGGAATAAAGTGGAATGAACTTACCCTCTGTCTGGATACTATACAGATATACACCTGGCCAAAAACATACTACTGCCACAACTCCACTAATCAGGCCACATGGATTACTAGGTATTTTTAGAAAAAAGTCTTAAGCTTTATTTCAACAGTTTAGAGAAGTAACAGTTTAGGCTGAAACTTCATTTTGCAGGAATCTTTTCATGTCAGTCTCATTTACAAGGTAAATGAGCAAGAGGTGGAGTAATGTAAGAATTGGGGGGGCGGTATCAACAAAGAAAAAGGCTGGAGGAAAAAGTCATACTCCCATGCATCCTCTAAGTTAATGCATACTAGTAATCCTTTCCTTTTGGAAGAACAATTACCCCATACTTTGGGACAGGAATGTAGTTTCACTGCTCTCATAACTGCCTCTCCAAACTGGGAAAATCCTAAGCCCTTGAAGGATCACAACTCTCACACGCAAAACAGAAGTTTGCTAAAACATTTAGTTTCACCACAGTGTTTCATGCTTGAAGTTGTATTCAGCCTAAGAAGCTGAACAGGATGTTCCCTACAGTTACAATGTCCATACATTCCAGGCTGGACTGAGTATTAGCACTAATGAAATAAAAACATCTTACCCATTTCCACAATGCAGCTG